AAACTGCTATCTGAAGGGAAAAATACACACATGCCCTCATCCATGTGTACAGACACATCCACGCCCACACACATATATTTATGCACATAGGCACATGTTCACCCAATACATACACATACACCTACACACTCACATGCGTATTCATCTATAAACACGTAACTACATGTGCACATTCAAACACAAAGTAGTGTATGATTTAAAGTGCAGAAAAAGAAGAGAAAAGTAGTATTGGCTTTTTTCTTTTCTTTCTTTTTTTTTTGTTTTTGATTTTTTGAGACAGGGTCTGGCTGTGAGTTTAGGCTGGCCTTGATCTCATGGTGATCTTCCTGCCTCAGCCTCCCAGCGGCTGAGATTACAGGATGCATGCACCACCGTGCCCAGCAGGCAGTGGCTTTTCTATTTCTAAAACTATTTCAAGAGCTCAGTGAGGCTAAGGAGAAAACCTTTAGGGGAGTTGTTAGATACTAGGGAGTTAAATTCACCAACATTTTTTTTTTTGTCTTTTTTCGGTACCAAGGATCTAACTCACTACCGCACACTTGCAAGGCAGGTGCTTATGCCACTGAGCTAAATCCCCAGCCCAATTCACCAACATTTGAAATTAATTTTGAATCTGTCGTTGTTGCCTTCTTGAGCCACATGCAAGCTATTCAACTCTCTGCTGCAATTTCCTTCTATTCTACACAGAGAGCATCAAGATTTTAACCTCCGGTTAGTACAAGCTTTAAGCAAAATGACATGTCTAAACAACTTACCACAGTACCTGGCTTGAAGGAAGCATATTTGACACGTTAAACCCCAACTGCTTAGTAATATTCCTGTGAAAATGATAATGCTCATAAAACTGTTAGTGAAAATGTCTCAAACTGCTTGTAAGGTGAATGGAGCCAAAAACTGTGTATTAAATGAATAGATGGTCACTGCTTAAACTACATTTTAAAAATTCCAAACTATGATTTATGAATAACAGAGCCAGGCATGATAGCCATTTCTGAGAAAATATGAACTCATCTAAATGGCATCTCATTTAGCATTTCTGAGGCTATAACTTTAAGGTGAAAATGGACAAACTATTATTGAACTCTGCAAACATTTGCTAAGTACGATAGACTTGATCCTCTCATCCTTAGGATATGAATATCACTTGCTATTCTTCACTGATACGATAAAGCAATTCATAAAAGTGAAATAAAACAATGAAACTCATAATCAGAGAATTCTAAATTGAGAGGTTATTGTGGACTATCAACTTGGCAAAGGAAAAAAGACGGATAATACTTGGGTGCTAGTGAGGGCATGATATGAATGATACTTCTGTACATTTTTGGTAGGAGTACAAATTTGGGGACTTGGGTCCTTTTAGTGACCAATTTGGCAACACAGGTAAAAAAATTAATATAGTCTTTAACTGATCAATTCCACTTCTTGAACTAAATCTTAAGGAAACACACTCAGGCAAATACACAAAGATGTTCGCATATGGTTGCTTGTTGTGGTAGTGTTCATAATGACAAATAAACTGGAAGTCACATAAATGCCTACCAATACAGAAATGCTCACATAACTCACAATACAGCTAAATGCCAGAACTCTATGCAGCTACTGAAAAAGGTGAAAAAAAAATATATACATACAAGACAGTTACACATCTAGTCATTGAAAAGAAAGGTTTGAGCTAATTTTTTGAAAAATATTTCGTGCCTATATCTTGTACTCTGAGTAACGACTATGAAGATAATGATATGCAATGTATTAATTATGGGTATTCTACTACCCTGTTTTGAAACTCTGTTTTATAGTTTATAGTTTATATCTGTTTTTATTTATTTTCTCTTAAACAAGGTTAGACTGTTTGTGCTGGCATGGAGAGATGTCAATGTTTTATATAGGATACCATTTTGATATTTTTTAAAAATATAAAAGTGTATCCATAGGACAAAAGCCCCCACTTGTTTCTAATTGTAGAAAAACAAGCCTGGCTTTGTGGCACATGCCTGTAATCCCAGAACTCAGAAATCTGAGGCAGGAGGATCAGAAGTTTGAAGCCAATTTGGGCTGTCCAGGAAGTTTGAGACCCTATCTCCAAAAGCCAGTACAAAAAATCTACGCAAAAACAAAATTAAAAAAAATAGCTTTAGGGAGGTATAATTTATAATACCATATAATATAATTTCATATACCATAAAATTCACCCTTTCTCAGCATACAACCAGTGATTTTTAGCAAATTTATGCAATACAACTATCACCCAAGTCCACTTTTATATTATCCCTCAAAGTTCATACCTTTAATGTTCATAAGATTATGTTTATAGGCTTAATGTTTTTTGGCCATGTTTATTATTTTATTTTTTAAAAAACTTGCAAAGGAAGTTCATCTCTTTTTTTCCATAATATATGAAAAAATCACTGAGACTGTGTCTATTTATTAGGGATGTTTGAATTTTAATTGGGTTTTGTTAATGATTTTTAAAAAAATTCTTGCTTGAAGTATGATTAACAAAAATTTCTTCATATTTAATTCTAAAACTTGATAAATTTGGAAAGTATAAATCCATGAAATTATAGCCATTGTCTATGTCATGGACATATTTTTTAATTTGTTATTTTGTTTTGTCTTGCAACAGGGTCTCAAAATGTATTCCTGGCTGACCTTAAACTCACCCAGCCCAGGCTGTCCTTAAAATCATAAAATCCTTCTGCCTCAGTCTCCCAAATATGGGGATTCCAGGTGTGTATGGCTATGCTATAAATGTATCCATTATCACAGGTTTACTTTTTAAAAAAAATTTTTATGGCACTGGGGACTTGAACCTCTGGCTTTTGCACTGAGCTACATTTCCAGCCCTTTTATGTTTTATTTGGGGATAGGTTTTGCTAAATGGTTTAGTTTGCAGGTAGGGTGGAATTTTTGATCCTCCTGCTTCAGAGTGCTGGAATTACAAGCATGTGCTACCGCACCTAGCTCTGGTTTAATTTTTAAGTTTTTAACACAGGAGTGAATTTGAGTAGAAGGACACTCAGAAGGAAGAACTAACCATAGAAAGTTTCCTAGCTCATAATTTCTATATATGAATTATTTTTTAACATGGATATATATATATATATATATATTGTGTTTTAACTAGAGAGAACAATAAAAGCTTTCCTATTGAAATGAAGTTTAAAAAAAAAGAAATGAACAGTTAAAAAAAGGAAACAAAACATATAACCTTTGACTCAGATCTATTTCTTGTGACTTACACTGAGGAAATAAGTGGAAGAGAAAATTTTTAAATAATTAAAATATCTCATGATGGAAGAGTAATTACTAATTTTTTCCTTTTTTTTGTACAGGGTTTGAACTCATGACCTCAAACTTGCCAGGCAGGCACTTGTGTGTGTCACTGAGCTATAACCCTGGCTCAATTTTATTTTTTTTCCCTGAGACAACGCCTTACTCTGTAGTCCAGGCAGGCAGGCCTTGACCTTGCTATCCAGACAGCCTGGTCTCAAATTTGTGATCCTCCTATATCTGCTTCCTGAGTGACAGGATTACAAGGGGTGTGCACCTAGTGAGAACAATTACTAATTGTACTAGAATGGGAAACATGCTGGATGCAAAACTTTGGTATTTTGTTTGCTTGTTTATTTGGCTTGAAACAGAGTCTCAGCAGTTTAGACTGGTCTTGAACTCACTACAGCTCAGGCTGGCCCGCAATTCTTATCAGTCTCCTGTCTCAGTCTCCCAAGAGCTGGGATTACAGGTGTGGGTTACCACGCCCAGCAAATCTTTTGTGTTGTATTTAGTACAATTTCATTCGTGTACGGAAAAAGTTAATGGCCACAAAAATCCTGTTAGGAACAATAACATCACACTAATGGTGACCTTTAGCTAGCTGGTAGGATTGCAGAATTTTTTGATTCTTTGCGTATTTCATTTTCTCCATAAATGATAGTAATAAAACAGATTATGGTATTGTTTTCACGGGCATGTATGTATACTTTAAATATACACAGTTATTGTATGTCAGTTATACCTCAGTCCAATCAGAAAGTTGAGAGAGTTGGAGACTCTAGGTCATCTGAAACCTGCCCGTATTGGATTTGTTAGACTAATTTGGGTCTTGGGGCACAGACAGAAGCTGGGGAGGGGCTTCCTTGTTCCTGATGACCTAACATGCTGCCTACCCAGGTTCCCTTCCTATGCCACGTCGGGACGTTGTCAAGGAGTGCACTCAGACGCTGGGTGAACGGCTCCTGCCCTGAAAGCCCCTGTCGGTGTGCCTGTGTGAGTCGGTGTGGGATAGGAGTCACCACTGCCAGGTTTCAGCCCGCGCCCTTTCAGTCCAACAGGATGAGGAAACAGGGCCTTAGCTCAGCGGAGTCACCGAGGGCTGCCCAGGGTTCTGTATGTGGAGGTGGCAGGATGTTAGATGGCCTCGCAGGCAGTGTCCGTCACCGCGCCGGAAGGGGCTCAGGCAACTTTTAGGTAGGGTCTGCTCTGCCTCCTCTGCGCACTTAGGTCACAGGCAGAACCCAGGCCTGGTGTGCACAGGCTGTGCATCTCTACCTCTTCTCGCTCTGGCCACCAGCTTCAGATAACGGCTCCTTGCGGTCTCTCTCCCGGCGAGGACGCGGAGGCCAGAGGAGGCCGCTCCCGGGGCCGCGGGACTCAGCGCTCCAGCCCTGTCTTCCACCCCCGCCCCTCCCCCGCGCGCTCGGGGACCAGTCTCAGAACGAAACTGTCAACTTGGCCGTTTTTCCCGCATCCCAGAACAGAGGCATCGCCCGCCAGCACAGCCAGCAGCGTCCAGCCCGGAGGTCGCCACTTCGGAGCGGCCACCCGCAAGGGCTCAAGATCTAGAAGGCGAGGTGGGAACACGGCTGCTGGACGCGCAGCCCGCGGCTCAGCGCGCGTGCGCGGCCGGTGGGCACGCCCCTCGGGAGCGCGCCTGCGCGCGGCCGAGAGCGCGCTTGGCCGGGGCTGTGTAGGCTGGGAGGGAGCGCGGCGGCTGGCGGTGCTACAGAGCCGGGCGGACGCGCGGGCCTTGCGCTGCTGGAGCGGACGGCCACGGAGGACACTAGGGCCGACGGAGAGCTTGGCCTCTCGACCGCGCGCCTCGGAGGCGCCAGCCCCTCCCCAGTGGCGCTCGGCGGCCGCCACCCCGAGACTCGCCGTGAGTCAGGCCTAAGTCGCCGCGCCGCGGGCGTCCGGGCCGCTCGGAGCCGTCGGGTCGGGCCGGGCCGTGTCGGGACGAGCCCCGGGCAGGTGCAGCCCCAGGGCCCCGGCTGACCAGCCACCCTCCCGCGGACCGCGGGCTGAGGTCGGCGGACTCTCCGGAACCCCGCGGCCGGACCGGGTCCCGCCCCGCCCTCCCTGGAGACCCCGCGCCCAGTCGGCTGGCGCGGGAGGGAGCGCGGGGCCGGCAAACTTTGCTTTCCATTGTGGTTTCTAAGCGTGGCGTGCGAAGAATCCGTGTGCGGAGGAAAAATGTCCTTCTTCAATTTCCGTAAGATCTTCAAGTTGGGTAGCGAGAAGAAGAAGAAGCAGTACGAGCACGTTAAGAGGGACCTGAACCCCGAGGAGTTTTGGGAGATTATTGGAGAACTGGGCGACGGAGCGTTCGGGAAAGTGTACAAGGTAAGGGGGATACGGGAAGTGGCCACGGAGGTTACCCGCCCCAGGCCGGACCGGCACCTGGCTTCCCGCGCCGAGTCCCTTAGCTTGACTTTGTGCTTGTGCCTTGGAACTTTATTTAGCTTATCACCCAACGGGCATTTTAGACTGGAGGGCTGACGGTTAAGCACGGTGCAGCCTGGGTGCAGCTTGAAGAGTGATAACTGCGGAGGTAGAGTTTCAGCAGTCTACGCCGCCAAACTTCAGAGAATGAGAGTGTTCTTTAATTTAGGAAATAGGTCTGATTGTGGGCCTCAAGGATCTTAAAATGGGAAACATACTGGTCTTTTCAGTGGATGTCTGTGTACTGCATGCTTGTACGAAAGCAGTTTACATTTGGGGGCCTAGGACATATATTTGGTAGTCTATATCTAAGACATAACCAGTCTCTTGGGATTCGAGTAGTGTGATTGCCACTCGCAGACTCTTCTTGAATTGGTTCTTCGTATCGTTTGCTTGACTGTGTACTGTAAAGTGGGATAGAATTTCTGGTAGAAAATTTCCAGAACAACATCTGGTACTAGTTTCTAAATGTAATTATAGTAAGAATTGACTAGAAGTCAAAGTCAGTATCAGCGCTCGAGAAATTACAGGAAAATTCACATATACTGTACACATTTATTTCAGTAAGAAGAGGTTTGACATTTCAACCTGAAGGCATGAATGTTAACTGTTTACACTGTAAGGAACCTATGAATGATGTCTTCGACATATTTTCATCCTGAAGGGTGAGGTTTTTATGAGGCACAGTTTAGAGGAAGGACCCACAGGGTTGCCTAGAAGTGAAAACATAAATAACTTACACAAGTACAGCACTTTGCAGTTTTTAGGCACTTTCATGTTACTTGGCCCCTGTAAAAATCTGGGAGGTAGGCAAGCCAGTAGTAGTACTCACAATTCTACGGTGAAGACACGAGATCCAAAAATTATTCAGTTATAGAGTCATAGCCTAGACTTGAACTTTTAGGTCTTTTGATCCATATTTAATAGTTATTTTCCTCCTATGCATAGAAATGATACCATTTTTCCTACTTTTTGAGCACCTTTGCCTTGCCTCAAATGCAAATTGGCATAACCGCAGTCTTCATTCTGTACTCGGCCTGAAATACCCACTCCTTTCTCTGTACTTTCAAAATACATTGTTCACATGGCTACCATAGCATTGGTTACATTTTATAGTCAGTATGTTTGTGTTCTGTAGTAAAATGGTCGGCCAGAATTAGAAGGTACGTTTAGGGAAACTGTTTTCTGGTCACATGCATCTCTCTCTCCTTTGTTGAAATGAAAGAATTGTCTTAACCTGCACGTGAGCATTGGGTGGCAAAGTAAACAGCGTTTGTGTGGAAGGTAAGGTATGGTTTCAGCAAGCACTTGCCATGTAAGATGCAGGGTAGAAAGGACTTGTGGTGTAGTGGGTCACTTCTAGGAGTTAGGAACTGTGTTTCAGTGCTGGCTGTCACAGCCAGCTTTGTGGCCTTGGACAAAACGCTAAACTCCTTTGGGTCTTCCATTTTCTTAGCTGTAACATCATAGAATTTCCCAAACATTTGTTCAGATCCTTTCATCTATTAACAATCTTTGAGTCAGCTAGGAAAGGCAGAGATAATTTCTTTGAGTCAGCTAGGAAAGGCAGAGATAATTTCTTAATATCTTTTTTTTTTTATCTGTACCAGGGATCGAACTCATGACCGACCGCCTGCTTGCAAGGCAGGTGCTTATGCCGCTGAGCTAAATCCCCAGCCCAGAGATAATTTCTTAAGGCATCTGGAATCTTGTAGTGAAAGTGATAGGTGATAATGGCAAATATGTTTTATTGATTGTAAGTGGTAAAGTTTTAAGAACATAGGCTCTGGAGCCAGCATATCTCAGTTCCTTCACTCAGTGGTAGTCGGTGATCTTGGGCAAGTTGTGTATTTGTCAAACTTTAATGTTGTAGTAATGTGCAGTGGCAAACTTTCTAATCATGACTCCATCTATCATTTCCTTATGGAAATGGCTAGATATTACAAAGATGAAATTGTCACTAGGAAATCATGTTGTGTATTTAGTTTGAATCATCATTGTGTAGTTATATTTTTTCCACTCAGTTCAGCTTTATACAACTCTTAACAAAATTACTTTCGTGTCTGAAAAACTTATACAATTTTACATTTCTTTTTTTAACCATTGTACGATGTATAAGTGAAAACATGTAATGTCCTTCACAGTATTTTTATATTTAGATTTCTACTATTGTTTTAAACAGAAAAAAGGAATAAATGCATATTAAATTTTATTTATAGAAAGCTGATCCCTTCTCGGCTTTTTGGCTAAGATCAAGTGTAGAATGCTCTTACACAAATTGAAGCTGGACTTAGGTATATGCCGGATGGAAATGATTTTTACACTAGATGGGTTTTTGTCTTTTAAAAACTAGTGAAATATTTAATTTTTGCATTGAAAACTACACAAAAATACATAGAATAATAAAGTGAATTTGTATTAACGTTGGGATCAAGAGATTCTGCCAGCACCCCAGACTCCTTCCTGCCTCCTTTCTGAATCAAATCCCTTCTTTCCCCTCAAAGGAAACCACTGTCCTATCTTTAAGTTATTTATTTGCATTTTACAGTGGTTTTTCATCTAGATGTATATCTCTGAATTTTGTGAATTTAGTTTAGAACGCACTTGAGCTTTGTAAAAATGGAATTATATTAAGTATGCTGTTGTATTTTGTCTTTCAAAATCAGCATTGTATATCACTGTCCTAGAACTATATTGTCAGTTCATTTTCATTGTTGTATTGCATTCCATTTTATGATTATATCGCCAGTGATTTATCACTTTATCACTAAAGGACACATTGGCTGTTTTCAGTGTTAGGCTGTTACACACTATACTGGTGCACAGATGTGTGAGTTTCACTCAGATTGTACCCAGGAGTGGAATGGCTGGGTTTTAGAGTAGTATAGCTTTAATTTTACTGGATGATGCTAAAGTAACTGTATTATTTTATGCAGTGCATGAAAATGACCCTATCCTGAATTTTGATCAACATTTGATATTGTCATAATTTTTAATAATCTGATGTGATACTTTTGATTTCTGTGAGTAATTATTTTATATATTTATTGGAAATTGTATTTCTTTTGTGTCCTTTTCTTTTGTTTATTTTGCTACTGATCTTTTCCATGTTTATTTGTAAGTGTATGTATATATGACATACATATATATATCAGGATGACAAACACAAATGTATTTTAAATTTAGCCATTGGCTGGTTATGATTATTGCAAATTCTGTAACTTTTCCTTCTCATCATGGCATATTTTTATTAACAAAATGTTTTTTTTGAGTCAGGGTCTCCCTATGTAGTTCAGATTGACCTTGAACTCATTATGTGCCCCGGGATGGCTTCACCTCACATTGATCCTTCTGCCTTAGTCTCCTGAGTGCTAGAATAACAGGCATGTGTCACCATGCCCAGCTTAATAGAATTATTGATTTTAATGTAGCCTAAAAAATGTCAGATTATTCCTTTTAGCTGATGCTCTAAATTATGTTTAAGGCATTCTTTGTTATCCTAAGAACATGAAGATACTCCGTTTTATCTTCTAAAAGCTTTATGATTTTGCTTTAAGTAGTTTTAGAAGAGTAATTCACCCAGAATGGATTTTGTGTATGGTGTGAGACGGGGGTCTCATTTTATTTTTTCCCAATATTCATTCACAGTTATCTCAGAACTTCACTGTGGGCTGGGGAGAAGGTATCTCCTTCTCCCCAGTATCCTCTATCATATATGTCTCTGCAGTATCCTCTATCATATATGTCTGTTTCTGCAATGTTTATTATCCTCATCAATGTTTGTTTATTCTGCTGTCTTAACTAGGAAAACATTAATCATTAAAAAATTAAGTAAGTCTTCTTCAGCAGTGTCTAGTATGTTCTTGTCCCTTTCCTTCTGTTCTGTTTGTTTTCTGTTCCTTTCCCTTCCCTGTCCTCTCCCTCCTCTCTGTCCTTGCTGTCTGTTCTTTCTCTTTCTCCGTCTCTCTTCCTCTTCTTTTTTCTCTGTTTTAGATAATAGTGGGGTTTCAACCTAGGGCCTTGATACTGAGCTACATCCCTACAATTCCTTTTATTTACTGAAACAAGATGAGGCAGTGAGCCTTGAACTTGGAATCCATCTGCCTCAGCCTCTTGAGCAGCTGGGATTACCATCATGCTCAGTAGGTCACTGTACTCTTGATTTTCCTTGTACTTCTGTCTACCTGTCAGATTCCTTTGCTAGTGGGTCTCCTTCCTTCCTTTTTAGTTTTTTACTTTTATTAATACATGTTAGCAGTATATAATGATTATATTCAGTGTAGGGAATTGGTATGGGTACATAATACATTTCAGTTCCCTTCTTTTAATTCCTTCCACCCTTTATGTTTCCAGCAGCAAATTTATTTATTTATCTTATAAGAGCTTATGGATTATCATATATACAGATTCAAAAGCAGACTAATAGGCCAAAGAACATAAAACACATAAGACCACTGTACTAAGTCAAGGTCATGTCCCTTTTCTGACTTTTAAGTGTTGGAATTCTATAGGCCTGCTTACTTTATCTCCTTTTCTTATGAGAACTCATATCCCATGCTTCAGTTTCCACCTAAATGCAATTTACATCTCTCTTCTGAGACCTCTTTTTTGAATTCTAGATCCATCCTTTTTGGATTTATGGATTTATATATTCAACTATTAGAAATTCCCACTTGTATGTCTTACAGATACTTTCAGCAAGTCTAGAACATGAACTAATTCAACTAATGGCTTTAGCCTGCAATTTGTTCCTGTGTTCCTATTCAGGAATTGCCATTCCCATCTACCAGTTGCATAGGCCAGAATCTTAGAGATCATTTTTAATACCTCCTGCTGCCTTCCTCACCAAATCTAGTCAAACACCAAGGCTGTTAATTCTACCTACTCAATGTGTCTCAACT